TGTCCTTCATTGAAAAGATTATGAAAATAACCTTTCCATCTGTCTTTAAAGGAGGAGGGGGAGGGCGTCAGGTAGTCGACAGCCGGCACTCCATGATCACGTCGAATCCTTATGAAAATGCACAAGCTAATAAATAAGTATTTTGAAATCTAATTTTCAGCTTTAGTGAAGTCTTTCATGTTTCCATACAGAAAGATAAGATTCATGGAGCTGTTTAGTTTCTTAAGACTGCAGGTTTCCTCATTGTTCAGCCTCTCCTAAGAGCAACCTAAACATTTAACTACAGCTAAAAACTTGCAACAAAACCCTCAAGTGGGTACTTGTAGGCTGTACCAATGTAATAAATATGCGACTTAGCTTGTTTTCTTGCATTTTCATAACTAGTTTCTACTTATTAGAGTGTTTTAAGCTATTTTCGTGTGTTTGTAGGTCCAAATGACAAAGTTGGCAAGAAAGTGCAATTTGGAGCATTTTGGAGCAGTTTTGGGCCAAGATTGGATAGCATATGAATGGAGCAAGGTGGATAGACGTTTTTTAAGTTCAAGAGGCTAGGAATATGTTGAAGAGATGAACAAAATAAATTCAAGACAAAGAAGATAAGGAATCATCTAAAAGGAATGAACATTATCCAAAACCTTATCCAAACCAACCTTATCTTATCCAAACTAATCTTATCTTATCCTATCCTAATCTTATCCTACCTTAATTCTAGCTGTAAGGGGGACTTATTTTCATATTAGGATACCTACAAATCAGGTTTCTAGAAGCCAAACCTTATCCCTAAAAGTGTGCCGCCCCTAGCCCTTCTAGAAGCTATATTTCCTGCTGCAAGGACTACTCATTTTCCTCACTAGAATCTGATTAGAAGTGTCCTTGTTCCTTGCTAATTTGGAGTCTTAATTCCTCTCCTTTTTAGCCTTAGCCGTGCATTCCCTTCTCCCTATAAATACATAGTGCCACAGCACTCACAACTCACCCATCTTTCACCACAAATTTGCACCATACACCTATCATACACAGAAAATCCCTCTTGTGCTGCAACTTTGCAAGGAGAAAGGAGAGAAGACCCTTTGACGTGCCCTACCATTCAACCTTGGATTGCTGGAGCGTTCTTAGGTGTATTCTATCTTTTATTTTCAATGTTTAATTTAAGTTATCTTTGTTTAAGTGCGAACATGAGGAACTAAACTCGTTTTGGCTAGAGCAGAATTCGAAGCCATGAACATATATTGTATATGAATTGATTACTTTCAGTTATGATTTCATGAATCATGAATGCAATTTGCTTAACTGTTTGATTCAAAACTTATTCTTGTATGTTGATGAAGGAGACCTACTTAGTTTGCATGCTTGGACTTGATGCTAAAATATAAGGGAATTTCACCTAATAGTTATGAACTTATATTTACAAGTAGTGGAGGTCACTGGTCATGATCGTGTTAATTGAATTCCTGGCAGGAGTATCATGTTGTTCATAGTTACGAATGCCTTGTCAATGCTTATGATTTTCATAGAACTTAATGATCCTTGGCAATTCAATGAACTTACGAAAATCTAAGTGTTAATTAGTACTGTTCACGATTAATCTGGGGCGTTGTCATTTATGGTTTATAGGAAGAATAATTGGAAATCGATTTGTATGCATATGTGTCATGTATGGAGAAGGACGTTCTAGCTAGCCATTCACCTCTTAAAAACATCCAATTTCGTATTAGCTTAAGTTTGTGTCTGCAAGTACTTAGTTTAAGTTTTAAATTCGTCAAAAAAACCAACCCCCCCGTTTCTATTTCGTGTTTTTAGGTTAGAATCTGTCCAATTGGTGTCTTTTCATTGTTTTGAGTCTTTCTAGTTTAGAATTTGTTCAAAGTCATCTTTAGTGTTAGTTTGGAGTCAGTTTGCTTGTTTTGTGCTGTTTTGAGTAGTTTGAGTCAGTTTTGAGTCATAAGAGTTTAGTTTAGTGTTTTTAAGCCTAGTTAAGTGTAATAGAGTCTAATTTGAGTAGATTGGCAGTCCTTCCTAATCCCCGGCCTAGAACGATCCCTACTTATCCATACTGCAATTATCAAAAAGAGGGTTTAATTTGTGTGCTAGTTTATACCACATCAAATATATAGTCCATCCCTCTAAAATCCTTCCCCACTATTAGTTGTGTATAAACAGTTAAGAAGCTACAACATAACAATAGCATATGTTCATTTCTAACAATAAAATCATCCAGTAAGAAACATACTCCTTATTAGACATCGTAGTGTTTTAAGGAGTGAAAACTCAAATCCGATCTTCACACTTCTGCATGCACTTTTATTATCAACATAACATGACCATCAAGAAGTTAAATGAAGATAACAAATTAAATTTATATTCATTTCCTAATAATGAAACATGTAACCAACATACTTCATAAGTGATGTTTATTTGCCCCAATTGTCAAAACCACCGCTCTCTTGCAAGGCATATGATAGGAGCATATTTATGCGCCTTATTTAGTTAGTTCTTATGCATTTATGTTGTGTTTTCTTAGTTAAATTAGTCTTTTAAGCTATTTTCATGTGTTTTCAGGTTTTAGAGACAAAGTGAGCAAAAGGAAGCAATTTGGAGCATTTTGGAGCAAAATTGGGCTAGAATGGAGTTCATGCATATGTAGCACAAGGGATGGACGAATTTGAAGGATTGATGAAGCTAGGAATGTGTTTTGAAGTTGAAGAATTGAAGATACAAAGTTTCCTAGTTGAAGTAGGAAAGGGCTTAAATGAAGGATTCCTAAATAAAAAAGGATTCCTAATCAATGTAGGAGTCCTAATTGAAGATGGATTCCTAGACACATGAAGTTTCCTACTCAAGCAAGGTTTCCTATGTGAAGAAGAAGAGTTAAAGTCAAAGAATCAGCTCAAGAGAAGGAATCTTATCCAAAACCTCATCCATAACCTTATCTTAGCTTATCTTATCCAAACAAACCTTATCCTATCCTATCTTATCCTAATCCTAAACTATCCACATTTCAGCCACTTAGGAGGGTTTCTAACTAGATTAGGACACATTAAAATTGGTTTTTAGAAGCCCTTATCCACTCCTACAAATGTGCCATACCTTATCCCTTGTTTTTCTAGAAATCAGCCACAAAACAACCTTTCTAGAAGACCTTATCCCTTGTCCTACAAAAGTGACGTCCCAAACCTTTCTAGAACTTCTAGAAACCTGATTATTCCTTTCCCCCTTGGTCTCTAAAAGCCTTAGCCTTTTCCTTCAAGGATTGTGTGTTATTATCCTATACAAATTAGGCCTTTAAATCCTTTTCCTTTGCTACATAGGGGCTGCGAATTTCAGCCTATAAATACCATCTTTTGCTGCACCATTTAGTCACCATCCTCTACCATATTTTCACTACACCATTCACCCAAACATACCTTGTGTGCTGTGAGTTTGCAAGGAGAAGAAGGAAGACAACTTGGAGCCGTGCATGCCATTCAAGGAGCTTGGATTGTGGAGCGTTTCTAGGTGTTTTCTATCTTTGTTTTAATGTTTAAATTTATTTATCTTTTGTTTATTTGCGAGTATGAGGAACTAAACCCCCCTTGGCTAGGGGGGGATTCGAAACCATGTTTATGCTTGCTATATGATTTGATTACTTCTAATTGCGTTTCATAAGTTGTGATTTCAATTTGCTTATCGATGTGAATTAAAACTTATTCTTGTATGTTGATTGAGGGTCGACACTTAGTTTGCATGCATGAATTTGATGCTAGGATATATAAGGGAATTTCACCTAATCGTTATGAACTTATATTCACAAGTAGTAAAGGTTGTTGATCACAATCGTGTTAAGTAAATTCTTGGCATAAGTTTCATGCAATCATAGTAACAAGTGCTTCGTCAATGCTTATGGTTTTCATAGAACTTAATGATTCTTGCTTGTATCTCTATTATGCAATCATGTAGGGGACTTGTGGGGAATGCTTTGGGTTGTCGTATGCAATCATCCAATTCAATAACATTAGGAAAATCTGAAGGTTAATTTAAGCGGACCTAATTAACTTGGGGCGTTGGGAATTCATGGTTTATTGAAAAGCAATTAGAGATCGTTTTATATGCACGTGTGACATGTGTGGAGATGAACCCCTTAGCTAGCCTTCCATCCATCCATTTAAACCAAATTCGTTTTAGAGTCTTTTCAATTTACAAAGTTTTGTTTTGTTTTCAAAAATTCGTCCAAAATCAATCCCCCTTTAGTTTTAAGTGTCATATTAGTTAGAAACCCATTTAGTTTGTGTTTTTAGGTGTCTTGAGTCAAGTTTAAACCAATTTTCGTCCAAATTCTTCCCTAGTGTCCAAAACTGCCCAGAAAGTGGTTTTAAGGCAGTTTTGAGTGTTTATTTGCTGTTTTGAGTCTTTTGGTTTGTTTTAGTGTTTTAAAGTTTAGTTTTACATTCTTTGAGTCTAGTTAGTGTTTTAAACTTGTTTTTTTTACGTTTTTGAGTCAAGTCCAAGTGATTTTGCAATCCCTCCTAATCCCCGGCCTAGAACGATCCCTACTTACATACTTGCTACAATTGATAAAAAGAGGGTTAATTTGAGTGTCAACATAATTTTCACATCAGCATCAAAGAAGAAACCTCTTTTCATTGAAAGCGAAAACAATTAGGATTAAAAAGAAGAAATTGATGGGCATGGTAACAGTACAAGAAATCAATCCAATGCAATGAGACAAATCCGACAAAATTCACACCGAATGCCACATGAATTTTAGTTATTGAAATTTTAAGAAAGACTAAAAATTCATCATAATGAAAATCTGCTTATCAATGAGAGTGCACAACATTGTAACATTAGATTCAGAAAATGGTTTTGATTGGTTTTGATAGGAAGCATTGTAAGTTAATCCCAAACATTTAATTCATGCTTCCAAAATTAACAACTTCTACAACTGCAAGAGAAAACCTACTTAAATATCTTAAATGCCAAAACCAAAAACTGTCCTTATCTGGTGGAAGATAAGATCCTACCATCTTCTCTATATTCTCCACCACAGTCGCATTCCTGTGTCTGCATAACCAAACATATAAAAACAAGGCAATCAACTTTCCATCCAAGAAAACAATTCAACATTGTTATGACATTATCTTTCCGTTTGCTCCACAAACAAACTAATCTGGATGATATATGCAGCATTTGGACCTCTCATTGCCAAAGTCATGAGTAGTATAAAAAATGAAAACCATCGATTTAATTCATTAAATTTGATCAACAAATGAAACACACAAATGTAGAACTACAAAAATTGATAGAGCAAGAGAGATAGGGAGGTACATGAAAATTCTGTACGATAGGAGCGAGTCTCCAAGTGAGTAAACTGTGACATGCATACAGAAAATAAACAATAAATAATAACTCATATATGAAAATATATAAACTCAAGCCGCAAAAAGAACACTAATTCAGATCCGGTGCGGTTTGAAAAAACCCAAATCTGGTACACATACAATCTCTTCTAACCAATTCCTCCATACAATTGTATCTACTTAAATTCCAGGCAAAAAGTTCAAATCTTCCGATATAAACTCACCACCCTTCAAATAATTCACATAAAAACACACAAAAAACATGCCAAGCTATTAGAAATCGAAAGAGGGCTACGTTTAGGGTTAGGGTTTCTCAGGGTTCTTACCTAAATCCAAGAATTTGAACCACTTTCTTACAGTTTAGCTTGAATTCAATCTCCCAAACAAAATCACTAACCAAATCTTCAACATGCCAAGTTAAAACCGAATTAGTCCTGAATCTCAAGAATTTTTCAAATCTAAAAGTTAAAATTGAAGAAACCCACTTACATAGATAGGAAGCTCACTATGAGAGGATCACTTCTCTCTATTGGGTCGAGATCTAGTTTTGGCCGAAACTTGGCCGGCGAGTCCGGTTTGGTCGTTTTAAAGAGAATAGAGAGGGTAGAGACATAACTAAAAATAAGGAAATATGAAAGAGATAAATATGAAAGATGCGTGTGGGTTAAGGGGAGATGGAGAGAGAAAGAGATAGAGTTGGATAGATGTGGGCGGGCGGGGAGAGAGAGTGGGGATAAATATGAAGGGTGTCAGTGGGTTAAGCGGGGGGAGAGAAAGTTGGATAGAAGTGGGTGGGTTAAGCGGAAAAGAGAGTGTTGAATGGATGTGGGCTACAAGTTTTTGAAAATAATAATAAAGAACAAAGAATTGTGTCTTTAGAAGTAAACTATGGGCACAAATAATATATTAGAGTCCATTTTTTCAATAAAGTTGTCAGATAATGTATTTGTGCCTATTTTTTCTTACAATGGGCACAATCCATGGTGCCCTCTATGGAATGAGAACTGTTTCAGTCTTTTGGTGGTCAAGCGGACACAAAATTCTCAGTTGTGTCCTTTGTTTTGTACCCAAAGCTCATTTTTGTTGTAGTGTCATTGCCTAAAATAACCAACGACATGCTTTTCGGTATTTATACTACAATCTCAGCACTAAACCGCTGCAACTTACTGGTTGGCTCTAGGCATTCAAATGCCTAAAATAACCAATGACATGGTTATCGATGTTTATAAGCAATTTCAACACTAGGTGATGTGTTTGAAACTTTGTATATCTACGGACATGCTTTCCAACCCATATAGGTTTGAAAGCTTGTAGAGCATTTTACTCTGGTTTCACAGATGTTATTTTAAGGCCCTGATGTTGTTCTTTAACTCAGCCCCCGTTAGGAGGATTTTAACACGAGTAAGTATAGCCAGTCTTTAACAACACCCTATAAATGTACTCTTCATGTTCTCTATAAATGTATTTCAATTTACTTATTTCCAAACTTGTTCAATATTTCTACTTTTTAGGCTTCATCAGATCTAAGCATTTTGGATTTCGACTTACCCTTATGCATTATCTTTACTGTATCCGCTGTCATTGAACTGCTGACAACGTTTGGAATTATGGCTTCTTAGTTTTGGCACCAACAAATAAATATCTCTTGAACGAAAAGCCACAGCAAGGGAAACTTGCAGCCACCCTAGTTTTTAGTAGCAGTAAGTCTTATCGCTGCTCCTTCCTACGAGCATCATACTGCCTGCAGCAACATGCTGCCATTCCTGTAGCAACATGCTGCTGCTTCTACAAACTTGGGTTTTTAGGTGACTTTTTTATGTAAATCTCCTTAAATCAAGGAGTGCCTTCTAATTAGTCAAAATCCATTTGTTTAGTCCTTAAATCAAGGAGAAGGTGGCGTGTCCCTTCTCCCTTGTGTTTGGTTTGCTGCTTTATATTGTGCTCTTGCTGTAAACACACATCATTATTGAAAATATATCAAAACTCATTTCTCCACATGGTATCAGAGCAGTGTCCTTGTTAGACTTGACTCTGCAACCTTTTACCGTGATTTTCCACTCTTTTCAGTCAACAATATGGCATAAGAAAATTTAGTTCTCTTGCCTCATCGGCTACAAATTTCTCTAAGGTTGATATCAACCCAAATCAAAGACTCAGTTCAGTTTTGTTAAATGAGTTTAATTATCTTCCTTGGTTAAGGGCAATTACTTTGGCTCTCGGTGGAAAGGCCAAGCTCGGCTTCATCAATGGAGTCATTCAAGCATCAGAAATTTCGGCTCCAAATTATGAAGCATGGCTGTGCAACGATCAGTTAGTTATGTCATGGTTGCTAAATTCTATGGAGAGGAAAATTGCTGAAATTTTCAACTATTCTAATTCCTCACAACATTTATAGGACCAAGTGAAGGAAATGTATAGCAATCAAAACAACTCGGCCCGTGTCTTTCAACTCAAGAGAGACGTTGCAGCTCTTCAACAAGAAAGCAAGTCATTCGTGCAACATCTTGGCAACCTTACCACTATGTGGAATGAGCTAGATGTCTATCAACCTCACACCACAGATGCGACCGTGTTGTTAAAAAGAGCTGAGGAGGACAAAAATTTTCAACTAGTAGCAAGCTTAAGCTCGGAGTATGAAGACTTGAGAAGTCACATTTTGATGACTTCAGAGCTTTCGTCTTTCTCGAGCTTGTGTGCCATCATTCAACGTGAAGTGGTCAGAAGACAGGTCATGGGATTGGACACCAAAGTTGTCGCGCGAGAATCTTGAGAGTATGCCTCGAATTACCAGTCACCTGAGGTGAAGGTTTACAAAGGTAAGCGCCCCGACTTGAAGTGTGATCATTGTCTTGGAATTGGCTATCGTGGGATTGGTCACACCAAGGATCGGTGTTGGATACTTCATCCCAAGCTGAAACCAAAGTTCAACAAGGACATCAAGGGACCATACAAGGTTGCTGCTAGTTCACCATACAAAGTCAGTCATATGGCAAGCCTCGTAGAGTCTACTTCAAATCATGTTGCTACTGATGGGCTGTTGGATTTTACTTCAAGTCCTGTTGCTCTAATATATGAATTTGCTTCATTTTTTCAACACAAGAAAGGGAATGGAAAGGTTGAAGAGGTAGCGGTAACTAAATCCGAGAAGCATTTTGTGATGCTTGGCAAGTTTGCGGGGTTTTTAGCAAAGGCTGAAGGTGTACCACATGAAGTTGTCCCATGTATTTTCCATGCTTTTTCTACTGCTCTAAATAATAGTTGTGTGCATGATTATTGGATCATTGATTCAGGTGCCACTGATCACATGACAAACCAAAGAACAAACTTGCATGAATTTCAAAATATGTCATCTCAAGTGTCTGTTGCTAATCGAAAATGAGTCTTCATTATGGGTAGAGGAAAAATTAGGTTAATTTCGAACCAAGTTGAGTCCACTACCCTATATGTCCCTGCCTTCCCTTTTCAACTTCTTTCCATTGGAAAAATTACCAAAACCTTAAACTGTCTTGCAATTTTCTCACCAAAAAATGTGATTTTTTAGGACCTAGTCACCGGGAAGACGATTGGTGAAGGTTTCTTTCTCAATGGTCTCTACTATTGTGACATTTGTTGAAATGTCACAATATTATTTGACACTTGTAATTTCTCCAAATTCTCTAGACTACCTTTTAATTCTTCCTTGTCTGGAGCTAGTGAGCTTTTTGAAATTGTACACTCGGACATTTGGGTCAAATAATATTGTGACATTTGTTGATGATTTCACAAGAATCACTTGGCTATATCTCTTGAAATTCAAAAGTGAAGTGTTTACTATGTTCAAAGACCTTTACAACCTTGTTACTACTCATTTTGAGTCCAACCTTAAAACATTAAGATCGGATAATGGCACCGAATACATGTCTAACAACATGACACAATATTTGAGCATGCATGGCATATTTCATCAAACAAGTTATGTTAGGACACCCCAACAAAATGGGGTGGTTGAGAGGAAAAATAGAGACCTCTTAGATAAGACACGTTCTCTGATGCTTCACATGAACATTCCTAAGAAGTTTTGGTCACAAGGCGTGCTCACTGCCACATATCTGATAAATAGGCTTCCATGTCGAATTTTGGTATTTAAATCACCCTATAAAGTTCTTAAAAATCGGCCCATAGATTTGTCACATTTAAAACTGTTTGGATGTACATGTTTTGTGCATGTTCAAGCATCTCATCATGATAAGTTGGATCCCCGATATATTAAGTGTGTGTTTTTGGGCCACTCTTCAACTCATAAAGGGTATAAATGCTTTAATCCTGTTACTAACAAGATTGTGGTGTCTCAAGATGTAAAATTTGAGGAGTCCATTCCTTATTTTCACAAAGGAACCGCATATTCAAGTAAGGGGGAGACTTGGGAGGATTTGATTTCGCTGCCTAATTCTAGTGTGGATATTAACTTGGACTATCTTCAAGTTGATGTCGCTCATGCTCCTGTTTCCGATGCCTCTCATTCTCCTGATTCTTCAAGTCCCTGCCATGTGCCACAATCCCATAACGTGGCCATAACAACATCTCCCAGCCATTAAGAGGTTGACCCACTTCCAGTTAGAAGAAATCCTCCAAGAGCACGCCAACCTCCACCCAAACTGCTGGATTATGTTACCTATGCAGGACGACATCCAATCACTCTTGCATATCATCGCTATTCACCTTCCCATGCAGCTTTTCTCAATGCTATCTCAAACCACCATGGACCCAGTAAGTTTCAGGAAGCCAACCTTCATAACAAATGGAGACAAGCCATGGATAAAGAATTGCGAACCCTTAACGACAACCACACTTGGAGTATTGTCCACTTCCTTTATGGCAAGAAAGTCGTGGGTAATAAGTGGGTCTACAGGCTCAAATTCCATTCTGATGGCTCTATTAAGTATTATAAAGCACAATTGGTGGCTTGGGGCTTTACTTAAATGTATGGGGTGGACAACAAGGAAACGTTTGCGTTTGTGGCCAAGATGAGTACAGTTCAGGTTCTTCTTTCTGTGGCAGTCAACCAAGGTTGGTTCTTATTCCAAATGGACCTGAAAAACACATTCTTGCATGGGGAACTTAAAGAAGAAGTATATATGCAAAACCTCCTAGACATCCTCAAGCCTCCCAAAATGGCCTCGTTTGTAAACTCCACAAAGCCATTTATGGGTTAAATTGAGCTTGGTTTTGAGCATGGTGCGCTAAGTTAAGCTTGGTTTTGGAAGAGGTAGGATTTTCCAGGAGTAATGCAGATTCATCTTTGTTTATTCTCATAGGTTCATTGGGTAAATTGGTGGTGATAATTTACGTCGATGATCTTATCATAACTGGCGACAATATGGACGAGATTGTGTCCTTCAAACGGTCTTTTCATTAGAAGTTTGCTATCAAAGATATTGGTAAACTAAACTACTTTCTTGGCATTGAGACGGAACTTCCCATAATGGACTGTTTTTGAACCAAAGAAAGTACGTGTTGGATCTTCTTCAAGAGGTCGGCATGCTTGATTGTAAACCAATCATTACTCCCTTGGATTGCAAGCTCAAGTTGGACACGGCTGGGGAACTTCTCACTCACGTAAGTTACTATCAATGATTTGTTGGTAAACTCATTTATCTTACTAATATTACTTATAACGTGAGTCTTGTTAACCAGTTTATGCATGCTCCCACTGTTACACATCTTCATGTTGTTAAGAAGATATTACGGTATCTCAAAGGGTCCATTAGGCGTGGTATTCTCATGAGAAATAATGGTTCAACCCAAATACAAGGCTATACAGACGCAGATTGG